TCTCAGCAGGACCTGTTCTTTGGACTATTCTATTTTAAATGGCAAAGACATGTAGAAGACATGTAGAAATGTGTAGTTGAATCACAAATAGGCAAAGGGTGAGTAGACAGCTTGCACACAGGACTGGGGCTTTATAGGTCAACACCCTGGCTTGGAGACTCTGCTTAGCTTTGGAAAAGTAAAATCTTTACAGTATATCCACATACGCTCTGTAAACACAAGTATGCATTCACAAAAATATGAAAGTATGCACCATCATCAAAACCAACCTTGTACAAATATACATCATACCAGTACTTAGATATTTTTCACCTATGCTGTTTGCAGGATGAATAGGCTTTTGCAAGACTGACTACATTTCCATTCTGGATGATTGGTGTGTTCTTTCTTAGGAAGGAAATGATTAATCTCCAATCAAGCAGTGGTGTCCATGTGCTTCAGAGCCTGGTACCTGAAACTAGGGAGAAACGAAGTGCAAATCTTCAGCTCACATCCACTGATAGAAGACAATCAAATATCCAGAGGAAAAAGCTAAGCAAGCCCTTCCATTTCTACTGAATCTTATGAAATTTTTGCTAGATTCCATAGGACCATGACCAAAAAAATCATTTTTACAGTGGAAGACTTTTACCTTTAATGCTTCATTTAATATTTTTTAAATATCCTTATTTCTTAGGCTTTCCACATTCACTTCTTTTCTTCTAAGAAGTATTCTGAAAGATATGCATGGCTATGCTAAGATTTCCTGCCCTACAGGAGGAAAGACTGTGTGAGTTTGCAACTTCAGTTTTTACAGTCACTCTGACTGTTAACAAAAGTGGTTAAAATAGCTGCATGGAAATATTAAGTTTTCAAGTATGGTGAAGGCAGATGAGGATTTATTCTTCTTTCTCCTATGTGGAAATTGGGCACAAAGTTTATAGAGGTAACTGCAGTTCTGGGAAAATGATAGTTTTCTTTAATGGCACAGTTCCCACCCACAGGCAAACAAAAGAGAAACCATAATGATTTATCTGCAAACAGGATGCAAGCAATCTGCATTGTTTCCATGAGTTAGTCAGCTAAAATACTCCTAGCAAATCCTATCCCTTTATCACCCTAATCCTCTGAGTCTGGAAGGAAAATGCAGAAGCACGCTCCAAATGGAGAAGCACCCTTAGCCCCTCTCCTTCTTAATAACAGGCTTTTCAACATTGCATTGTCTCAGGGCATTATTTGACTTAACATTTGAGTTCTCATTAGTATATGCAGAACAGACAATTCAATTTACCAGCTCTAGGATCTTGGCTGACAATTATGCCTTGACAAAAAAAAATGGTTTGGCTTTGTGCATGTGTGTGCGGAGTCTTCCTACCACTGTACTCCCAGGGTGTCACTCGGTTGGTCTTTGTTCTGGAAATACTGATTTTTTTGAATCTGGGAAATTAAACCACCAGGGCAGTGTGTTGTCTCAAGTCACAGGCTGTACATCTGGAACACAATCTTTTTTTTTTTTTTTTTTTGGTAGAGTGCAGCAGTGTAAACTGTATTCTTGCTCACTCATTTGCTTTACTAGTTGCATGTACATGTATCTGGTGCTCTTCTCACCAAAAAAAGGCACAAGAATCGAAATTATGGGATACTGTTTATCAGCAACTAACTTACTATATTTGCACCCTGGGACACAAAACTCTTGTGTGTCTTCAGCAAAATGCAGCACTGCAGCTCAGTGCTTGGTATATTATCACACCTCAGGTCTGGTGGGCAGGCATGGGAAAGCTTTTGAGAGGAACAAGCACCAAGGCAGAGGCTCCTTCATGCTAAACTTTGGCCTGGGATCCTGCAGGAGGATAAGCAAAAAGCAAGACTGGTGCACTGTGTGGGGGTTTTGCAGAGAGAGTTATCAGTCAACAGCTGTAAGCCCAGACTCCTTGCAGCTGATAACAGATCTGCTCATTCAGCCTAACCACTCATGCATGGAAAATCAAAGAAGATTAGGATCTGTTTAGAGACAGACAGGAGAAAAAAAAAAGCCTCCAGACTACCAGTAAACTCAAGACAGCCTGTGTAGGATAGGAAGATTCATGGTCTGCTATTGTTCTGTGACATAAAGTCCACTCACCTCTTGTAGCATGAAACTAGAAATATCTGTATTTGGGTGTCATGATTTGAATTCTAAGTCAGTAGCGGTTAATAGAAGTGTTGATGTTTCTTGACCTGTAGTTATTTGGGACTACAGATTCCCTTCAAACTGGGGAAGGATGCAATTCCAACATACCTTTCTTTGGTTGACAATGCTCTCAGTCACAATATTGCAAATACAAGGAAGCTCCCTAGTCTATAAACCTACAAGCAGCAATACAACTGTGCACATAAGACTTCATGGGATATATGTTTTTTAAAATGGATTTATGCATTTATTGTCTAAATTATTAAAGATGTATGATTCAGCCTGGCTTTCTTTTGGCTACCAAGTTCACCTATGCTTAGAGGTATATTGATGCAAAATCTGGCTGCAGCTGCTGAGCGGTGAGGGTGTTTCACAGGAGCCAAAAGCCTCAAAAAGCTCTTTCTGCGAGAAAGATTTTCTGCGATGTCATACCCACATCCTAAACATGAGCCTTACAGAGCCTCCTCCACCTGATTAACTCCCTGTTTAGAGAAGTCTCTCAACAGCATCCTTATGCTGGAGTTTAGTATCTCCTGGCCTGGAAGTTTATAAAGTCCAGAGAGCACTTTCTGGCTGAAGGGCACTAACAATGTAAATGCAGCATGAGTCATTATCGTTATGGTCCTTTCATGTTCTTACTGAAATCACTGATGCACCTTCTACGTCCAGCTGACCCAGCAGTATTTCTTGCATTATAGGATTCTGATTCCACTTCCATTGTTAATGTTCATTACTTTCTTGGAGAGCTGCAATTTCATTATTAATACATCAGTGTAACAGAGCACCAGACTACATAAATGCATTTCTGAGCATTAGTTAAATATCAGTTTTAAGAATAAAATAGGCTTCCTCTGCCAACTGTGTGCTTCTTGTACAAATGCTTTATGGCTACAATTGCAAAAGTACATGGGAAAGGCTTTTATTGTCTTCAGAAAATATAGCAAGGTAAATATTTGCTTGCTCTCTCCTATTGCTGAGGAAGATCAGCATTGCAAGTTTGAAAAGTGGTCATGATGGCTGCTTGAATCCATCCAATAATAATACTAGGAAATTTTGAACAATGCTTGATGTAGCCTTTCTGTGAGAACAAAAGGGTGAGATCCTAATTTCTGATACCTTTCAGTTGTGTGACCTATGGCTACAGTCTGGTCAACTCGGACTCCAGTGGTCTTAGTGGCACTGTCTGAGGAGCTGATGTTGGAGCAAGGAAAGCTCACCCATTCCCCTGTCACTGATGTCCACAGCCAAGCAGTGAGTGAGATGAGAGTAGGGTGATGGCCCACTGTAGGCCAAGTGGCCCCAATTTTGGCGTCAAAGCTGGGCCAATAGCTGATGTGGTCAGTAGGGCTCTGTTGCTATACGTGGATTCCTGGTGCCCTTTGTTTCACTCCATTTGGATCACGGACCACATCTCTAGCTGGGGTTACAGCATCTCACCTCTTGAAACACAGTGGAAGGACTGGACTGCTTCAGAGAAAAGCTCTGGTGCTATAGTGCTCCCACTTCACCCTGTGCTTTCATGGTTTTGCCTTCTAATTAAACTCTGGGGGGTTATTCAGAGATACTTTGAGCAGGAGTCCTCTCAGTCCAGCCAGGAAAGCTTTGATGCCTGTACTGCTGTGCTCGTTCATTTTAGCACGTTGTTTCAGGACCTCTTTAAAATGCAAGCTAGTTATGCTATCTTCTTCGTAGATATTTGTGAGACTCAATACTTTTGGATTGAATTATTTTATGCATTAAACCTTAGGCTGGTGGAACTGAAGTGCTGAGGTCCTTTTTTAATCAGAGGCACCAGATTAACTCGCTTTTAGTCTTTCAGAAACTCACTTACTCTTAATGAGTTTACCGTGATATAGGTCCACAAATTTCCTGTCTAGCTTCTTTTGGCACTCTCAGATAAAAATGCCATCTGGGAAGGAGATTTATTGGTTTTGAGATGATGTCCCTGCCTTATCACCTTGTTTTGCTGGCCCTGAGCTCATCCCAAGATAGTGGTACTTACCTAGACAGCATCAGTTTCTGTCAGACACAAATTGTGGAAAAATTAGTTTAAAATACCTTGACCTTTCTACCCCAGTAAGATAGGACTTTTTTTTTTTTTCTATAGTAAAACCTCTTGCTAATGTAAAACACTCATATACATACATACATATATATAAAATAGATAAAATATATACAAATACAAATAAAACCCTTTTTCTTGTAGCATTTTGTTGTGCCTCTACTGTAAATTACATCTCAGTTTTCTTGTGGAAGGATTTATATTTTATATCTGTGTTTACTTCTGCAGAAATTAATTTGGAGCTTTGAACAGCATCTGTTGTGCACTAGGGTGCCAATGGCAGCCAGGGGGGAATCTGTGGAATGATGGTCTTTTATTTTAAGACTGTTCAGCTGAGCACACTTTTAACTATTAAGCTGTGTATGGCTGCCCCAGACAGGGGGATGGGTGCTGATGCTGGGCAAAGCACCACAGGTACTTCCCAGCGCATCAGGATGCATGGGGTGCAGCATTGACTAAGCACCTGGAAATACAAGGATCCAGACATCGCTGCCCAGTGGGGAGCAGTGTCCAACTCGAAGGGCTAACACTACATTTGCAGAAGTATCCCTGATCCTATTGATCAAGACTGACTGGGGCAGGAAAGCTGGTTTATTTCCGGCTCATTTATCTCATCCCAGTGAGGAGGGTGTTGGTACCTGCATGGCTGCCTGACCTCCAGTGCTCCTAAGGGGCAGCACCTGGGCTTTCCCTTGGAAGCTGAGCACTAGCTGTGGGGAAGGAGGCAGGCCAAGCGGTTGTTGGTGTAGGCTGGAGAAATGGGGTTGCTCTGTCAAGATGGTATTACAGTGTGGTTTGTAGCCTCTGCTTTGCTTCTGGCAACCAACGTACCTGAGCAACAGCTGGATCTGTGCCTGCCCTTCCCACTTCCCTCTGCGTGTCTCGTGGCTGCGGTCTCCTGGCATTTCACACCTTCTGCAGACCAGCAAGGAGCTCAGGTCTAAATGTGGGTGGAGAGACACGACTGAAGGTTTATGGATGAGAGGAGCCTGGGCTCCTTGGAGGCAACACTGGGCTGTTCTGCTGTGCTGCCAACCCACCTGAAACAAGATGCTCCTGAAAGAGAAACAAACCTTGTTGAGCCTTAGGTGGAGGTGAGTTCGGTCAGTTCACTTTGTAAGCAGTTAAGATCCTTGTCTGAGCAAGACAATGGAGCTGGGAAGGAGTTGAGGGAAGGACTGTGCAAGCCCGTTTGCCTTGGAGGACCTCCAGGCATCTCAGCCTGAGCCAAAGGTCCTAGGCTATCTTCATTGTCCTAGGCTATCTTAGAAGTCGTGGTTAGCTTTGAGCCAAAGGTATTTCATTGTCCTAGGCTATCTTAGAGGTCGTGGTTAGCTTTGTGCACTTGAGCTCTAGGAATAGCTCTTGAAATTTATTCAAGACCTTTACAAATAAAAATAATACTGTATGCTTTCTTTTTTTCCTTTATACAAACTTTCTACAGGAATGAGTCCAGCCAGTAATTGCATAGAAAAGTCAAAATAGCTTTCTTGCTCTCTCTCTCTCTATGAGCTCTAGGAAGGTTATCCCTTTGTACTCAAACTTCTGTATTGAGGGGTGAGGTTTTCCTGGTTTAAATTACCTGAACTGCATTCCTGCTTGGATTGTGGCTGTGGCTGCAGAGGTGTCGTTCCTTCGGTGAACAAAGAAACCCTACAAAAATTAAATGAGTCCACATTTTCTGAAACGTGTGGAGAAATGGTTCTTCTGGAGTTGTTTCTTTAAAAAAACACATGACAAGACTTGCCTTTGTGTTTTCTTCCTCTCCTCGGGACACTTCTTTTTCTGGGAGATATTTCTGTATATACCCCACTGGAGCTGATGAGGTATGCAGGGCTGGGGCAGGATGGTTCCTTGCCTCACCTGTGTGATACAGGTGGGCCTGGTCCCTTGTGTTCAGGAGATGACATTAGGATGACTTCTCTTTCCTCTGAGATCTCATAGCTAGAGGCAAGGAAGGTGGCATACAAACAAAGCTCATTTTTACTTTACCGCTCTGTAACGTTTGTGTGCTTAATGATCTCGTCTTTTCCTCCCCGCTGTGTTTTTACCACCAATGTCCTAATTCAATCACTGACCCTGCTTTCACTTAGTGTCTGAGCTTTGATGAGCTGTCAGTGCTTGATGCTGTCCTTGTCCACTCTGCAGCCTCCCTTTAAGAGTATTAGACTCTATTGGCAGCTCTAGACATTGGCTAGTGAGAAAGAGTGATTTTTACAGGACTCTTTGATGAGTATTTTGTATTTGTTACCCTGCTAATGGAAGATGTGAGAGCCACATTGCCCCTGCCCCAGCCTTCACAAGGGGAATTATCATGTCAAATTACAGCTGCTGACTTCTGCCAGACGATCCTCTCTGCCTTATCTTATCTATCTACATTTTTTAATGCCATGCTCATCCTCATGGCATCTAAGTGCCTTAAAAGTTTTCCATTGCTCCCAAAAAAAGATACATTTATGGGTGTGTTAGTGGAAAACTTTCTCTGGTTCTGGTTATTCAATCTGAGCGAACATGGGTGATAAAGGTTAAAGTGAAATAGCACTGAAAATGCGCAACAACCTTTTACTTGACAAACATGATCCTTGTTGATAGTTTATCCAAAATGTGTGGCTTGGCTTTCCTTTCTGGTTATGTTTAGGGATTATCTGGGTCCTGCAATGCTTCTGGCACCCACAGTGGAGCAAGTTAGCAAGGACTGACATAAAACCACATTCTGCCTCAGTTTGTGCTCTTGCAGTATTAAACTGTTGTCTTCAGCTGACAGTGATCTTGGGTCTGCTTTGAAGCATTTGAGGCTTTTTGGTTGCCAATGGATGACACGTTCATTGGAAACACGAGTTTGGCTTCTGCATTCAAGCTTCACTTTGCAGTATGCATCGTAAGAAATCTGGATGCAAAGGCTGGTGCATGTTAAGTAAGGCAATTTCAACTGGGAATTGCTGAGATGGCAAGAATCCCTCAAGGAATTTCTTCTTCCTTAATCACATTTCTGAGCAAGACCATCATTTATGTCTCATAAATCTTCTGGAATGTCACTTGTATCTGACTGCTGCCTATTTTTCAACCTGCACCAAAAAGCACTAGAATTTAATATAAGAATAGATAGGTATGTGTGCATATAGGCGTGCATTTCTATTTGCGTGAGTGCTGCCAGCGCACTTCACAAAGCAGATCTGCATTGCTAGATATTGTACTGTCCTCAGCTGATCCCCAGTCCTCAGTCTGAGTACAGCCACCCCACTGATGGTGGATACCAGAGGATCATTTCCCAAGTGCTGCTGCCATACGTGTGACATCTCAGCTTTCAGGTCCCTTGTACAGCTTCTTGGAGATCAGGTCTTGCCTGTGAGCTGGCTGTAGCTGCTTCTCTGCCTTTCCTAGAGGTTTATGCCGTTGAGTTGTTCTATGCATATTTGCTGCTCAGCCCAGCAGTAGGTAGCAGGCTGTGGGTGCTTTGATCCTCTCCCCAAGTCGCAGCTGATCCACTGAGATCCCAACATGATCTGACAGCTCTACATGTTTTCACCCTTGACCTGGAGCTGTGTTTGCAAAGCTAGCAGGCCAAAAGCAAGCTTTTATTATCTGCAGACATCTATGCCTAAGCCCATTTTCATGTGACTGTGACGCTGTTGTTCAAGCTTCTCTATTAGCTAGGAAGGGTGACGCTTGCAGCTTCAGTGATAATTTGGATGGGGGGCAGGTCAGAAGGGGAAGGTATTTCAGAGGTGTTTTGTTCTTCAGTTTTCCCGGTGTAGAGATTTCAAAGCAAACAGTAGTACTAAAAGTAGACTCCCAAGTCAAAAAGAATCACCGTCTGGCAGTTCGTTCTTCCATCTTGCTAAACCTCAGGGCGGGGGATCATAAGGTGTCTTGGTGCCAATGAAAACATTATTCTAACTCACTTAACATCTCACTTAGCCCTATTTCAGATTGTAGTACTAAAATACTGAAATGACAGCAATTTGCAAACTATTCCAGCATTTCATCTGCAAATCTGCACTGTCAAAAGGCAATTTGTTCTGCTGGCATACTCAAAAAAAAAATCACAGGAGGGAGGGAGCTTAGTTTGGCTAGCAGACTAGACTTCAACCCACTCAAATGTAGTCAGTGTAAAGCAAATAAACTGCAGCCATGTGTATTTGGTGGTAGGAGCTAGCATGCTACCTTTGATCTTGAAGAAAGTATGAATTTTTGGATCTGACACAGCAAGGTTCTCACTTATATGCCTAATAAAAAACATGTAAGCCATCCTGATGAAGACAGTAAGGTTACCTGTATGCCTGAATTGAAGCATGTGCTTGAGTGTCCTGAACTGTTAATGAGGGAGGTTTCTACTTAGAGTTGCTTGGACTTCCACTGAGCTGTGCTGCAGCAGTAGCAGAAGTTGAGAGGAGAAGAGAGAGATTTTTAATCCAGGTGCTGCTGCAACAGCTAATTTTCTTGCTAAAGGCACAGTTGCTAAAGAGTGCATGATTGGTTTTGCTGTGTGCTGAAAGTTTGCTTCCTCTGAGCTCGTGCTCTATTTTCCTGTCTTGTAATTAGCTCTTCCACATGGTTACCCCGATGTGCACAGCGTGCAGTCATATGATGAGCTTATGCCACAGGGCATCCTCGCTGGGCAGAATCACAAGGCAGGATCTGTCGGACCGTAACGTGGGCTGACAACAGCAGGGGGTCTCACCTTGGAGAAACAGCTCCTGAGCCACACCATCATGCTGCTGGGGGTTTCTGCGGCAATTAGGGCCTCCAGTCTTGGGGGAGACTGAGATGGGTCCCATGCTCAGGAGTGGAGTCTGAGCAACCTGGCTCCCTTGTGGCGGTTTGTTCTCTGCAGAAATGCAGAGATGATGCTGGTTCCTCATGGGCAGCTCCAGCCCTGGGCAGGGACCACCACCTCCAGGTGTCCCACCAGCTGCTCAGCCCCTCCACTTGCATGGCCAGCCTACAGCTCCTAAAGGCCTAAAGGGTAGCACCCGCTTTTGTTGCCTCTCAATTGTGCCTTTAGGGCCAGGTTTTCCTATGGTGCCAGCTGGCATCTCTGTTAGTTTGCATGGATAGTGTTGGAGCAGGAGAAATAATGAGGGATAGTCCATGAATTTGTCAGATCTGACTTGGACTGGGTTACACAGGTTTCTCTGCACTGAGGGACACTGGATGAAACAGTCTGACTTCAACTCCAGCTTTCCCTAAACAAGACTTTTCCTTTGAGTAACTGATTTGTCCAACTAAAATCTTAACCTGAGGTATAATTTTGGTGAAATCTCTTCCTTCAGATCCCAAGGATTACTTTTGCACTATTTTCTATTTTGTAAGATTTTACTTCCAAGCTTCTTCCCCTCCCCCCCCCTTTTTTTTTCTTTTTCTTCCCAAAACAGCATTTGGTGTCTTGTTGCTTTTGTGTCAAAACAACTGGGAACGAGGTGACCTGAACTCTTTTCCAGAGCCATGGTAACAGCAGAGCTGATAAAATAGAAACAAGGTTAATTCCAAACTTGCAAATGTCGTCAGATCAGCCTCTTGATGAGAAAAAGGATGAGGTGAGAGAAGAGTCCACTTGAAGGCACCGACCTGGATATGGTAAAGCATCTCATACAATAATATAAAAATATTTAAAATTCTTCTGATGTATTATACAGAATATTGCTTGACGACTAAATATTTGTAGAAGGATGAAAGTTATCTATAAGGATTTTTCCATGGCAGGACATTTGCACTGCAGCAAGTCTGCTCTGCTGGCCGTTCAAAGGAGCCTGGAGTCTTTCTGTGTCACGATTATTCACAAGTTGTTGGAGATATAAAGTAATGCATCCATTGATGGCAAACAGCTTTTTTTGAATGTTGATTACTGAGAAGGTGGGCCGTGAAACACATCCCATGCCTTTCTCCTTTTCTTCCTGCATTGTGCGGCTTCCAGGGCTGTCTGTGGGACCCCAGCAGGTACGAGCACTGCGCCATGGGGTGAGGATAGGTGCTGGGGTTTTCAGCTCCCCCCCGCCTTGCTCAGCTGGAGAACACTTTCCACGAACTTTGTGGCTGGTGAGAAAGGGTCTGAGCAGGCATCCCATAGGGGTGCTGGTGGGGGACTTAGGCTGGACCTGGTCCTGCTCATTTCCCTGATCCCTGAATGGGGTGATGTTCACCTCTTCCTGAGGGTTGCCTGTGTTCATGGGTATCTGTTGGTTAGTGGGAATGAGTCCTGGAGGCACGCCGTCTTACAGGATGGGGGCAGCTCTTGGCTAGCAAGCAACAGCAATCTTCCCCTTCCTCTGCTTTTCCCCATTCACAAGAGCTAAAACCAGGGTGTGAGGACTGCTCCTTCCCTGCCTGTCCTCCCAGTCCTTGTCACTTAGCTCTGTGCATGCCTTGGGTGAGTGCTGCACTTGTGATGACACCCCCAGAGGTGACAGTGGAGAAAGGAGCCCCCCAGCTGCTGCTCTTGGGTTGTCTGCATGGAGTATTTGTTTGCAGAGAGCTTGCATTAACACTCCGTGCTGCCTTAGACTAAGCAGTCTAATAGACTCTTTCACCACCTCTGTAGCACTGCCTGCTGGGGTAATCATTCACCGGTCATGGCTCTCTGCAAACAGCAGCACTGAACTTGCCTTTCAATTACTGGTTTATGAGTCTAAGACGTCTGGGGAGCGGAGTGGTGATAGCCATATGCCAATATGGCTGTGGGCTGCTTGTGAAGCTCCCCGTGGGACACAGAAAGCAAAGCCCGGGGTCCAAGCAGTTCTGTCAGCCTGGTGACTGACAGCATCTGACATGGGCTTAAAATAACCCACCTCAGAAAAGAAAACACAGCCACCTCCACATGAAGGGTTCCTGGTAAGTGGCAGCTGAGCTTGGAGGTCAGAGCTTGGGTCCCCTCCTTGGCTGGGTTAGGAGTCAAGGTCAAGGTGTTAACCCACCAGGAAACCCTACTTTTGGTGGTGCTGGTTCAGCATCTGGGCTTGCGGACATGTCCATATGCTACTTTGGAACAGGTGACTTCAGGGTTCTGTGAAGCCACCATAAAACAACCCATTTTTTTGCTGAAATCCAGAACCGGTGTGAGAACCAACCCTCACCTGGGGCTAGTGAAAGCAGGTGATGACACGGTTGCATCTGGCCAGAGCGGCTCTCATGCTGCAGCTCTCATGCAGCACTTATTCTGGGCTAGTCCCCACAGTGGTTCTTGGAGGAAAGCTGGGCCACAGAGACTGAAATAACAAGAACCCATCATCACAAAAGCACATCTGCTGGGTTTGGAGTGTGTGACTGCTATTACAGGCTCTTAAAGAAAGCTCAAACCCTTCTACAATGCTGGAAAACCAAGCTCCCTTGAAGTTTTCAGTTACACCAAGAAAAAAATAAGGTCGTGGTGTATTTCTCTGTGTCCTCAGAAATTTGAGGAGCAGTCTCCAAAAATGTGATTCACTCCTACCAAAATGCTCATGCAAAACAACTTAGCTGCGTACGACTGGATTTTCACAAAAAAATTGTTTCTAAATGTTTTCCATTCACTAACTTTTCATAACTATGGTTTTTTTTTTTTTTTTTTTTTGTCCTCTTTGCTTCTAATCTCTGATTGATCTCTTTCTCCTTGGAGAAATTCAAAAGACAACTGGACATGGTCCTGTGCTACCAGATCTAGGTTACCCTGCTTGAGCAGAGGGGTTGGACTATAGGGCTTCCAGAGGTCTCTTCCAACATCAGCCATTCTGTGATCTTTTATCTTCAGCATTTTCTGAATGATTGCTTGTTAGGTTAGCCAGTGACAGGTCATGTTGGAAATTGCCTTCTGAGCTGGTCAATTCCAAAGCAAAATGTTGTCACTGCTACTGGCCAAGATGCAGAATCATTTCTCCTGTTACCAGGAAGGCATTCAAGAGATAAGAAAGTTAAATCTTTGTGCATTTTTAGCATCTCCAAAATCTTGCTTATGCTATTATGCCTCATTCTTTGTCATTGCCAACTTGTCGAAAGGATAAATTGACAGATGGTAAAATCCCACTTGTAGCTTGCTTATTGCAAATTTCTCTCTTGTGCAGCATAAACATTAGAAGTAATTAGCACATAGGACAATTTGGCATCAGAATCTTTATTTTGTATAATGGGAGTCAGGGCTGGTTCCTGGGTGTACCAAGCCAGTTGGTAACACATGTATGCTTTATCTGTTAAGGAATGAATTGCTAGGTTTGGGATAGTTGGAAAAACAAATGAACAAGAAACAAAAAAAGACAGGTTTGAGTTGCAGTATCAGTTGTGGGATTTAAATGGCTTTTGATCTTTTGATATTCCAAAAATATGAATTTGATGATGCCAAGATTTTGGTTTGGGTAAGAATTGGCTTGGTACGGTAGAGGTGCAGTGCCAAACAGGGGCGAGGTGGAAGAGTGAGCGGTGGCAGGAGGAAGGGCAGGTGAAGAGTGACTCTGACCAGGTGACAGAGGGCAGCGGAGGCTCTGCCAATGGCAGGAGTCTGCGGTCAACCAGCTGACTTGGAGGGACTGGGGGATGACAAAAAGGAGGTGAAAGAAAGGCCTATGGAAAAGACAGAGATTTAATTAGTGTTGTCTGAGCAAAAGGAAGAAAATGAGAGCATGGGGACAGATAAAGACGAGCAGAAAGCAGTATCTAAAGATCTTCAGGGTATGCAGAATCCAGGCTTTCGCAGTGCTTTTGGACCCTGTTCTGCCATGGGTGGTGCTGGGGGTACCTGGTAGCCCCTGGGATACGCCAGGTGGTGCAGCACAGGGCTTGTTCCCGACTAATTGTCTGATGTGGGCTGAGACAGGCCGCTTGGCCAACATCACCAGGCTGTCCTTGGTGCTGTCTGATGGTGGGAAGCCGTGTGGTGGATGGTGCCTCAAGACAAGGAGATTAGCTTGGAGATAGGGGCCATAGTACTGGTGTAAACCAGAGTACCCCAGATCCTCTTTACCAGAATAAAGAACCTTAATGCTAACTCCTGCTTGTTCTCCCTCAAGCTATTTGCCAATCGCTTATCCTTCCTTTGCTGGGGAAGCTGTTCAGCACTGCCTTACTCATTCAGATCATCTGAAGGACCAGGCTTGTGCACAAACTGCTTCTTTTCCTGGCAGTCTGTGGACACCAGTGCAAGAGATCTATGTCCACTGCAGCTCAAGACAAGTGCATGTCCCAGCGAGGTGGATGGGCTCCTCTCCTTTACCATCCTGTCCCACACAGAGCTACAGTGGAAGTCACAGGGTCAGCTAATCTGAAGTGCTGACCTATTGTAATATATTCTGACACCTTGTCTTGTGGTTTCTAGTTGCATAAAATCCATCATTTTTGTGGTAGAAACAGCCGTGGGACAGTTGCTTTGAGTTTCTTCACCCAACTTCCTTATCTTCACCTGGAGACTGAACTGAAACACGTGATCAGAATTTACTTCTGACTATAAATTAATAAAACAATGCAACAATTTTCCTTAGCTCTCAGCTGTAGGTTGTATAAGTGTTCTTTGGTTCTTGTTACAGATGTAGCAGCAGCTGCATGGTTCAAAGCAGTGACACCTGATGCAATTTCTGGTTGTACAAATCTAGGTATAAACTAGGCAGCATGAATGGCAGTGAGATAATTTCCCACTTAAGCTAACGTATTGCTGCATTTGGAGGTTTTTGTGGCATATCTCTGAGAAAATACAACTGTGATCTTCAGATCTCTTTATGTATGTGTTTTAGATATTTCCACAAAGAAAAAGCCCAAAAATATTACCGAAATAAAACACTACTTATTAATTCATGCTTGTTCTTAAAAAGCTACTGAAAAACACAATATTGTTAAGCATCCCATTCTTGTTTAGTTTCAGAAGAACTTGGCTTTGTGAATAGCTTTGGAGATGTCAGGAAGATGATGTGCCTGTGTGGCATTTCCTACATCAGAAAACAGAATGGATATCCATCCAGAATTAATGTTTTGTTTTGCAAATCTTGAAAAAACAAATTTCCTTGCTACACAACAAGCCTGTAATAATGGGTCTGTAATGGAAAATGTCTGTTAATATTTTCATTAAATCTGCTAATGTGCACACATTTATGCATTTATGTCATCTTATTAATACATCTAAAAGAGGGTACACAGAAGCATATGTAGAAGTGGCTTTAATGCAGAAACGTACTTCCCGTGACTTCAGTAAGAGGGATGAAGCTGGGTGTGCTGAGTGAACTCTTTGGGAACTGCAGCAGCAGCGATACTTTCTGCTCTGCCAGCAGAGATGGAAACCAGCAGGAACTAATGCAGCTCGCTGGTTTGAACTGTGAATGTCACCAAGATACCCTGGCTCCATTTGTTCAGTGGTGCTGCCTAATACCACGGTGTACATTAAGTAATGCATCTTCCTTGTAGGGCTCTGGCAGGGGCTTGGTGCTTTGTGCGCTGCACGTCTGACTCCTGTTTCCATTATTTTACATGGAACAGCGCTGGAGTCCCAGATTGCTCCTGGCATGACAGGGAAGTCAAACACTTGCAGAGGAAGAGGTTTGGTCTGTACTCGGGAGGTATAGAGTATAATCTGCAATTTTATCCCTTTTGTTTGTGTTTCACTCTGTGGTTTGGATGGCTGATATTGGGGAGGTACCTTCAAGAATTAGTGTGACCATCCAAATTGCTTTTTCACCTTGTGCCATTTAGGAGACTGAAGCACGATTCCAGTGCCCAGCCTCCACCATCTCTTTCTCTTCCCCATGCAGGCACTCCTATTTGTGCAAGAAGCAGCCAGTGCGGCAGCACTGTGTGCTCACCTCCCTCCTCTTTGGTGGAACTGCATCCGGGGATGAATTTGGCTCATTGCACTTGCTTCCAAGGACCCAAAGGGTAGCTCCTATTGCATCTTGCAACTACTGCTTTCGGCCAACGCTAATAGCAACTCCTGCGTGGTCAGCGAATTCTTTGGGAGGATAGAAGCCGCCCTTAGTCCACATGCATATTACAAAAGATATTTTCAGCCATGTGCAGCTGTAATCAACAGAGCTCAGCTTGGCAATTTTAATCCCCTGCCATCTAGTTTGGGGTTGCTTGTTATGCAGCCGGCATTCACTCAACATAATGGTTGCTACCTGCCAATGTGCTTTGAGGGATATTGTTAGCATTAAATTTGCCATTTACATTTTCATGTTTGACATAATTGAGGAATGAATGCTCTTATGAAAATTAAACTTGTGGTCCTCCTGGACTACTGTAACCCTGTTAAAATGTAATGCGATTCTTGATGCGTCTTCTTTAGGTTTTTATTAAATAGAATATCTGTATGACTAATTCCCCTGGCCTAAATGTAGGCTGGGAAGGAGCATTATTGATAGGGCTGAGCACAAATGGCCCTCTATACTCAGCCTCTAATGGCCTAATAATGCATTATACTTGAATCAGAAATACTTTCAGTTGTAGTGCTTATTGCCATTATTGAAAACACCTGGATGCTCCATTCATCAAGGTTACATCAAAATGGGCCCATTTGTTTATTAGTCTGTCAGTAAACATCTTTATTTAGTTTCATGTTCCTCTGCTCTCAGTAACATCGGGGAGGACGAGACCATGTAGTGTATCTTTCTGTGGTTTCCCGTTATTAGTTTTCCCTTGAAAAGAAAGATAATGAAAAGTTTGGATGGCTTCATAAAGAAAACATTTTTCTTGGACTTTTTTTTCTTTTTTCTTTCCCTTTTAGAAGGGGAGGTTAAAGTAAAGCTATTGGGTATGTAGTCAGGATGTTCTGTGTAACCAGGTTGCTCAAACAGGCAGATTTGCCAGATTGATATTTTAAAGCAGTAATTACAAAAAAGATTTGTAATGGCAGGTAGCCTCTGGAGCATTTTGCTCCCTCTGTTACAGCTCTTCTCTGGTGGGTGGGGTTTGCTATGGAGGGGAACAAGGGTGCTAAGGGACAGGACCAGCTGCCAGGCATCACTGGCATTCATGGCCAGGCACCTTGCAGCAAAGGCACCTGTGCCCACATTCAGGCAGATCTCTGTTAGGAGTGAACACAGGGAGCATTGCTTAGCTCTGTTGACAGACCTCCTACTCCTTAACAAGTGTGTTGCTTTTTCCCATTTTCCTTCCCCCACTGGCAAAAGGGTGAATTAATGTGTTTTTGCCTGGTGCTTTCAGGCTCACTAGGACTGAGGGAAGGTGGTTCCAGTTTCCGGCTGTAGAGGAAAGAGTTGTTGAAATATTTTGGCTATACAAGGTCCCATCTCTTAGGCTAGCTGGAATATTTTTTCTTCATCAGCAAATGTTAGCTTTGACTATTTATTCAGGTTTTCTTTTGAAAGGGGAGACTTCAAGTATGACAGTTTTGATTGTCATTTTGAAACAGCGGAAAAATCAACATTTGAAAGTCAAATGTTTATTTTATTAATTGAAAAATATTGCAACACTTTGTTTTGATATTTCCTAATCTAAATTCTTCAGAATCTGTAATTCTGTGGAGATGATAGCTGGAAATCTGCTACAGAGCAGATACTTTGGAAATGAATTGAGCTCCAGCTGAACCAGGGCTTTCCTTATTTCAGGCTGGACACCAAGGTATTTTTCACTAGGTTATAGTGTTACCCAATACCTGATGCCAGCCACAAACAGTTTGTAACTTGGTTTTAAATACAGGCACCCCTATGAACTTTATTGGTGCTTAAGTCAATGTGTAGTTTTCCTGTTCTGAAGAAGGGAATGGAGAACTGGCAGTACTGGAGGGAGGAATTGAGGATTTTTTCCTATCGTGCTCTGAGGAAGAAAGAAAGAAATACTGCAAGGGTTTCTCAAAAATATTTCAGTTCTCAGGCACAGATGGATTTCAGTAGTGGTGTCTCAGCTCTGTTATTTCAAGGTTATTTAATAGCGTGCTTAAAAGTAAATTTCCAGTTGTCACACAGTGGTAGAAAAGGACATGAGCCAACCCATACTGCCTCAACCTCAGTCACCACTGCCTAAATAGTACGTCGCTTATGGCAGATCTCGAGAAATCTAGTAATTTCCCCAGACCTATGATTGCACTATAAGTGACTGGTGTAACATTGCTGTAACATCTGTGGTCATATCACCACAGGGGTAATTCTGGGGCAGGGGGATGGAGAAGGTGTCTCTTGTTATAGTGTATATGAGTCAGTAGATGACATGAAACATAAGAAGGTATAGCTCCTGTGAGTTTATCTGGGTTTGTTTTCCAAGTAACTTGAAGAATATGGATGACCTAAATGGGGGGTCACACAGGGGTTGGCTAGAAGATAACTGAGTTTAAATTTCTGAATTTGTTGTCCTTGCCATCCTAGATGACCCACAAGGAAAACAGCAAATATTTCAGTGGTCTGCTTTCACAGGGCTTGTTACTGACACAGCTTGGTGTGAGAACAACAGTTCTAAATCATATGCCTGATGCTGGTAGTAATTAATGACTGTAGTGGTGGTGTGGTGTATTTATTATGCCCAGGGCATGTCAGTTATTTCTGATGAAAATCAGAAGCAGAGAAAAGTCCCTTTTTTCAGAGACTTTTTAAGAGAAAAGTCTCTGCAAAATCGCAGAATCATAGAATGGTTTGAGTTAGAAGAGACCTTAAATCTCATGGCATTCCAACCCATCCTGCCATGGACAGGGACTGTGCTGCTCCCACCAGACCAGGTTGTCCAAAGCTCCATCCAACCTGGCCTTGAATGCTTCCAGGGATGGGACATCCACAGCTTCTCCGGCAGCCTGTGCCAGTGCCTCACTACCTTCATAGTAAAGAATTTCTTCCTAATGTCTAATCTAAATCTACTCTCTTTTACCTTAAAGCCATTAGTCCTTGTCCTATCACTACCCTCCATGATAAAGAGGCCCATTCTAGCTTTTCTGTAGGCTCTCTTTAGGTACTGGAAGACCACTATAAGGTCTCCCCAGACCCTTCTCTTCTTTAGGTTGAAGAACCCCAACTCTCTAAGCCTGTCTTCACAGGACAAGTGCTCCAGCCCTTTTATTATCTTTGTGACCCTCCTCTGGACAAGTTTCAACAGGTCCATGTCCTTCTTGTGCAGGGGAACCTCAGTAGTGAACACAGCACTCCAGGTGGGGTCTCACAAGAGTGGAGTAGAGGGAGAGAATTGCCTCCCTTGACCTGTTGGTCACGCTTTGTTTGATGCAGTGCAGGATGCGGTTGGCTTTATGGGCTGCAAGCACACCTTGCTGACTCTTACTGAGCTTCTCATCAACCAATGCCTCCGGGTCCCTCTCCTCAGGCTGCTCTCAATCCATATTTTACCTAGCTTGTATTTGGCTTGGCATTGCCTTGACCCAGGTGCAGGACCTTGTACTTACTCTTGTTGAACTTCATGAGGTTCACACAGGCCCACCTCTCAAGCCTATTCAGGTCCCTCTGGATGGCATTCCTTCCCTCCAGTGTGTTGACGGCACCACACAGCTTGGTGTTGTTGATAACTTCCCCTAAGGAACACCACTCGTCACTGATCTCCACCTGGACATTGAGCTGTTGACAACAACTCTTTTAGTGCAATCATCCAGACAGCTCCTCACCCACTGAGTGGTCCTTCTGTCACATCCACATTTCTCCAATTTAGAAAAAAGGATGTCATGGGGGACAGTGACAAATGCTTTGCACAAATCCAGGTAGATGATGTCAGTCAGTTGCTCTTTCCCTATCCACAAGTGCTGTAACCCTGTTTTAGGAGGCCATCCAATTTGTCAGACACAATTTGCCCTTAGTAAAACCATGTTGGCTGTCACCAATCACCTTATTTTCCACGTGCTATAGCATAGCTTCCAGAAGGATCTGCTCTATGATCTTTCTGGGCACAGAGCTGAGACTGACTGGCCTGTAGTTCCCCAGGTCTTTCCTTTTTAGAAATTACGTTTCTGTAGGTTATATTTCCATTTTTCCAGTTAGTGGAAACTTCACAGGACTGTTACAACTTCTCAAATATGATTAATAGTGACTTGCTAACTTCATCTTCCAGTTCCCTCAGGACCCGTGGATGCATCTCATCAGGTCCCATGGACTTGTGCACTTTCAGGTTCCTTAGATGGTCTAGAACCTAATCTTTTCCTACAGTGGCTGGTTCATCATTCTCACAGTCCCTTCTTTTGCCTTCTGCAACTTGTGTGGTGTGTTTAGAATATTTTCTAGTAAAGGTTGAAGAAAAAAAGCTGTTGAGTACCTCAACTTTCTCCATATCTTTGTGCCCAGATTTCTTGTTTCCTTCTACAGAAGGCTTACAATTTCCTTAGTCTTCCTTTTATCCCTTATGTAGAACCTTTTGTTGTTGCCCTTGGTATCTCTGGACAGGTTTAATTCTATCAGGGCTTTAGCCTTCCTAACATTATCCCTGGCTGCTCAGACAATTTCTCTGTATTCTTCCCAGGCTATTTGTCTTTGCTTCCACCTTCAGTAAGCTTCCTTTTTCTGCTTAAAATTTTCTAGGAGCTCCTTGTTCATCCATTCAGGCCTCTTGGTGTTTTTTCCTGACTTCTTTGTTGGGATGTATCACTCCTGTGTTTGGAGGAGGTGATCCTTGAATATTAACCATCTTTCTTGGGTCCCACTTCCCTCCAGGGCTTTATCCCATTGTACACTACCAAGCAGATCCCTGAAGAGGCCAAAGTTTTCTCTTCTAAAGTCCAGGATGGTGAATTTGCTGGGTGCCCTCCTTGTTGCCCTAAGGGTCTTGAATGCCATAACTTTGTGGTCACTACAGCTAAAGCTGCTCTTGAACTTCACTTTCCCCACCAGCCCTTCCTTGTTGGTGAGAATGAGTTCCAGCATAGCACATCTCCTTGTTGTTTTCTCTATCAATTGGAGAAGGACTTTATCATCAACACTTTCCAGGAATCTCCTGGATTGCCTCTGCCCTGCTGTGCTGTCCCTACAACAGATATCAGGGTGCTTAAAGTCCCCCATGAGGACCAGGGCTTGTGAAAATGAGACTGCTCCTTTCCATCTAAAGAGGGCCTCATATACTGGGTCTTCCTGATCAGATAGCCTGTAGCAGACCCTAGCTGTAATGTTACCTGTCCCTCTCCTCTCTTTAATCCTGACCCATAAGATTCTGGACTGGACAGGGTTTGGAAACAAACCTGTTTTCCAAACAGATTTTAAACAGGTTCTGTCAGGTCTGCAGAGGGAAAGGTTTTTTCCTCCACCCATGTCTCTGTTACATTAACAATTGTGGAGTAGAGGTCAAGTCTGAGGAATCTCCACTCTGCCCAACCTGACAAAAAACACCTTGCAACAAGCTTCTTCAGTGGTTGCTATAAAACCCAACATCTTCATGAACAGGTAGCAGAGGCTAAGAGCATTGCGTACCCAATGCAATTAGTATAGGAAATATAGACTTTCATGGCCTTTGGAGGAGATCATGAGCCATGTTACATGGGAGAGGCACACTGCACCCTCTACATCCTGCCAGCCTCCCTGGGAAGTGTTTCTCCCTCCCCCCCACTGCCTCACCTGAAATTATCTGAATTAATCTGAAAACAAATTAAAAGGGTAGTGGGGTTGCTTACTGCTATGAGGATCTCATCTTTGGCACCTGACTCATGTATTTCAGGAAAAGGGGAATAACAAAGAAATGGAGCAAACTGGAAAACAAATTTCATATCAGTGAATGTTTTTTTTTTTCTCTTCTCAGTCTATAAAGGCAAACATCAAAAACCCTGAAGCATCAAATCTTTTTCTCAAAAGACTAAAATTG